GCGCGCGGAAATCAGCAACAACCCACCTTTGCTCCATACGAACCTCAACGTGGCTCCATCAGCTTCGCGCCACAACCACAGTCTTCACCTGGACAAGAGAAGATATTGGACGCACTTCAAGTTCAATCACAATTCGCACATGTATTAAAACTGCAGACATCAACACCTTTCGACGGAAAGGACTTCTATACCTGGTCATTCGAATTCGAGCTGATGATGGAGGGCGCGCAAATTCTTGGATTCTTCGACGGGTCCCTGCCATATCCAACACATGGGACACAGTACGACAAGCAGCAGTACACATATCAACGCTGATGGCGTATACGATACTACTGCGAACTTTATCTCCAAACGAGCAGCAGAACATCCGGTCTTATCGAGGATACGGCAATTCCGCCGAGCTGGCGTACGACCACCTGAAGAGCCTGTATCAAGCAACAGACAGTGTTAATCAAAGTCGTCTCATGGCTCAGCTGACAACAATGGAAATGAAACCCGGCGAAAAGGGAATGGCGTATATCAGCCGTTGTCGTGGACTCCGCGACAGACTCCTTCGATGCGGAGGAGCAATATCCGAAGAAGCCTTCGTAACAGTCATCATCGCCGGCCTCGGTCCTCATTGGCGCTCCACTCGAGCACTCCTTTGAGCTCATGGGAAAATCTCCAAAGCAGCACTCTGCGCCGAAATTCACGCTGAACAATAGGATATGGACCTGCATGAAGAACGACACAAGAAAAGAGCATCCGCACCAGAATTCGCGTTTCACACTCAACGGCGCTACAACAACAACAACAATCGACAAAACAACTGACAAGTACAACAGTACGTCCCACCGTTTTGTCACCTCTGCAAGACGTCCGGACATCCTCGCACACACTGCCCGAATCAGCAACAGTCGACGTTGCCACAACGTCAACTTCGGCCCTCAAGCAGTCAAGTAACTTCTATGCAGACGCATCCCACCAATCAAGTACAGTCTTCAACGTCATCAACGACAAAACCTGCGCAAGGCACAAAAAACATCGTAAGCTGTATGACAAGAACGACAGACTCCTGCATCACCGGATCACCACCGTTCCACTCACCAGAAGAACAACTCGACGAGCGCACTCCTCACCGCGAATCACTGGAGCCCAACCCGACGTATGCAGCCATCGCCCAGAGCGAGCCGTCCGGGAAAGACACTTGGTTCTTGGACAGTTGCTGCGGACAGCACATGTGCTCCTCGGGTCGCTTCGTTCAACAAGAACATCAGCTTCAGCGCGAAGTTGTAATCGCCGTCGCCAACAACCAGAACCTGCACACACGACGACAAGGGATCGTACAACTTCAGTCTCGAGAAACTAACGTCATTCTACAAATGTCAAAAGTTTTGATTGCAGAAGGACTCGGCTACAACTTACTCAGCGTCAGTCAACTGATGGCGAAGGGCATTCATCTCGAAGCGGACAGCACCACGCAGGAGTTCAAGTTATTCCACGGAAAGGGCGGACTCTACATCGGCAAGGCAGTCTTGAAAAATAACGTCTTTGTTCTTGATTTTGTTCTGGACCAAGGAACCGCCGATAGCGATGCCATCGTCAACTTCACTTCTTGGACACATCCACCCGACCTTGACCTCGACTTCAGTCCTGGAGGATTCTGGTATTCACATACCATACCTGAAGCAAAAAGGACAAGGGCATTAGCAACAATCCGACAAGAAGAAACAACATCGACAGCAGCAGAGACAACATCAGCAACAGCAGCAACACCTATGGCACCAATCGCGGGTTCTTCGATGGCACCAGTTCTCATCAACGACACTCCACCGACTCCTGCGCAGCAATTAACTCCCACTCGACGCGAAGTTCACAGAAGCGCCAACTTCACCTCGGGTTTTTACTCCAACTCCGACCTGTACAGGCACTCACCCGGACATCGTGCAAGCGAATCACTGTGGCACGAACGATTAGGTCATCCAAGCAACACCACGTTAAACAACACGATCAAGGCAGCTGTACTCGAAAAGACTCACTCCTACACGACGGCAGAGAACTCCAACGAGTCCGAGGCACATGCTTTACCTGCCCCGAAGCTGACTTACCTCACCAACCATTTGTCTCTCACCACAATCCAAGCGCGCCAACTTACGCACCCCTGGAGAAAGTATACAGCGACATCCTGTATACTCGCGAACAAGGACAAGGAGCATACAACTATGTGATTACTTTCATCGATGTCGCCACCCGATACGTTTGGCACCTCAACCTCCCAAGTCGCGACATGGCCTTCGAAGCCTTTGTCGCCTGGCTACCTGTGGCAGAACGAGAATCAGGAGCAAAGCTGAAAAGCTTCCTATCAGACGGGGAGGGGAATATCGGTCACAAAGGTTCAGGCAGTACCTCGCAGAACGAGGCATCAAGCGACTCATCTCGCTTCCCTACGCCCATCAACAGCAAGGCGTGGCAGAACGAATGAACAAAACTCTCTAGAACACCATGCGCAAACTGTTGCGTGGCATGCGACTGCCCAGCCACCAGTGGCCTGAAGCAATGGACCACGCTGTCATGCTGCACAACTTGCTCTCATCATCGCTCCCGAACAACGCATCACCGCACCTGCTGTGGACAGGAAAATTGGGCAACACAAAAATGTTACGAGTCTTCGGGTGCATGGTACAGTACCGACCGCACACTGCAAGAGCCGGAAGATTTTCACAACGCGCACAGTGGGGGCTACACTTGGGCATCGAAAAGCATTACAACGCATGGAAGATTTTTTACGTCCACTCGAAGGAGACAGTAGCAGCACGTGATGTCATTTTCTACGAGCGACTCACACTTCAAACGTACCTGGACAACCTGGCAGCACATCGAGACCTCACGGGCGGCTTCTGTGGCAACCGAGCCTTCGCTTCAGCAGCAGACAAGGCTGACTGGGACGAGCAGAACGTGGACGGAGCTTCGAAAGAAGCCGGACCTCTCCCGTATTGCTCTGTGAACATCCCCATGGACGACGGCAACCCTCGCGAAAGTGTCAACGCCGAAACCTACTTCGACTTCACCGACACCGGTTACGTTACACCCCAACCGGTCGACACCAATGTCTCCGAACGCATAGGACCCAATTTCCTACCAGATCCAGAAGCGGGAGATGAAGCAGCTTATCCCGAGGACGCAAATCTCCCCCGCTACACACAGAGTGGATTGCAGATACTGGGACTCGTCACCGCTGTCCACAGAGCAGCACCACCTAAGGAGCCTGCCAACATTCAACAGGCTCTGGGGGGGGAACACAGGGAAAAATGGCGCGAAGCCATGGACAGAGAGTTAAAGGCGGATCTATCCTACTTAGGTCTGTAGATCTTAAAGCCATGGACAGAGAGTTAAAGTCTGTAGATGTAGCCGACCGGATCTATCCTACTCAGCACCTTAAGAAGCCTGAAGCAGAACACATGCTGGAACTCGACCGTGCACTTCACTATCTCGTCAAAACCCCTACGATCAGACTAACCTACCACAAGACCAGAACTACGACACCTAGGTTAATCGGCTACGTCGACGCCGATCACACTGGAGACTCCGACAACAGACGATCTCGAACTGGCTACATCTACAGACTCGAACCTATCGGCCCTATCTCATGGCAGTCGAACAAGCAAGAGCTAATCGCTCTCTCCTCAGAAGAAGCAGAATATATCGCACTCTGCTCAGCCACCAAGGAAGGGCTATATCTTCGCGAATTGCTGGAGGAAGAAAAGTTGGCTCAGTTACCCAGCTTCTCCCTCTTCTGCGACAACCAATCGGCCATTCGCATAGCGAACAAAAATGGGTTCGCGAATCGAACAAAGCACATCGCCCTCCGGTACTTCTTCATAAAAGACAAAATCGAGAAGGGAAGACTCGAGCTATCCTACTGTCCCACATCCGAGATGGCAGCCGATTACTTAACCAAGAAACTTGGAAAACAGAAGTTCGAGTACTGCATGCTGCTGACTGGACAAGGACACGTCATCAGCAGCAACACTCCAGAAGCGAAGGGGAGTGTTGGAATTGGAATAAGTAATTTAACGCTTCTGAAGTAATCAAAGAATCGACATGAAACGGAGCAGATTACAGCGAAACAACACGCGAGTCAACAACCGTAACAGTTGGAGGTTACGCGAAGGTCAAAGGTCGCTGACCTTTGACTCGACGAAAAAATGCAGTGCGACAGCAAGGACACATAACTGACTCGATACTGAGCAGTTACCCGAGTCGACACTGTATCGAACCGCAACAGCAAAAACAGTTAAAGTATACCTTTTCATATTCCCTTGTAATCATATAAAAGGCCTGTATCTCTCAGCTATTATCAACTTATCTTGTTCTCACACACCTGTACAAGGTGGTTCAGCAACTCTGATATTAACGCTTCCGCAAACTACAACATTCCTACTTCAACTAGATCTTAGCCTTGAAAGATCCTAAGGGCTATTTTCTCAGCCCAACATTTAGCAACTGAATTCTGAAGATGATCGCAATGGATTTCGTTGGCTTTGTTGACCGATGGTGTGAAGATGCCCCGACTGCTTGGGGTCACTAGCCTATCAGGTACTATAGTTGGGCCACCAGAAATTCTGAGGGTTGTGAGATTCGCGACAATACACGAAACTGGCGAACAACGTCGCAGCACATTTCCGTCAGATGCGGCGGCTGAATTGAACACGTCAGAACCTACTCATTATAAAAAGCACGAATAGCTCCTTAAGAAAACTGCACGAGGACTGTTGAACAGGGCTAACAAAAGCGTGATAAAAATAGGTTCAACATTCCAAGAGAAGCGGTTATGAAATTCTGATGCTTAGGAGGTCCGATATCCAGCGATACAGATGAGGATTGGTTATTACGACTCATGAGTCTCTTTCTACGTGGATAACCAAGCGGCCATCATTTGGCGTATTGCTAGTTTAGGTACAATACTCCCTACGTACTTACAGCTGCCACATGCACCACCTCAACGACGAAAACGGGAAGTTTCATGGAAGGCCTTTGGCAACGGCGGATAAGGCGAGGTGCAGGGAGAGCAGCACAGGATGGTCTCGGAGGGCAGATGCGATGGCAGCAGCGGCGGCCCGGAGAGAGGCCGCGAAGGCAGTGTGCATGGCCCTGGTGGGATGGCGGGATGGGGAGAGGGTGAGATGGGGAGAGCAGGGAGATGGGGAGATGGTGAGAGCAGGAGACAGGATGGAGAGAAGCAGGGATAAATTAAGTGCAAAGTCAATGTCTCCTCCAAACCCCTCTTCAATACCCCCTTCTCCGCACCCCCCCTTTCACCTCACACACCTCATCTCTTCAACAAACCCCTCCTCCTCCAAACACCGCTGTAGCTCCTCCGCCGCTAACTGCCGACGGAATGCCGCCCGGGCCGCCCGTCCCTTAGCATCTGACGTGGCATCACCGTAGGCGTAGTCAGCCAGCTCGACTCCACTGGTTCTACCCTCCACCCCATAACCCCCCCTTCCTCCTCCTCCCCATCCTGCTGCTGCTGCTGCTGATGATGATGAAGATGACGAATCAAGGCCGGGGAGAGAGGAGGCTGTATGGATGGTGGTGCTGACGGTGTTGGCGAAGCGAAGAGCGATGGAGAGGAGGGCAGAGAGTTTCTGCAGGCAGGTGGGTGAGATGGAAGAAGAAGGGGGGAAGAAAGTCGGGGAAACCACTTGGCAGTTGAGTGAGCAAACTACTTTTCATAAGGAGAAACCACTTGGCAGTTGAGTGAGCAAACTACTTTTCATAAGGAGAAGCCACTTGGCAGTTGAGTGAGCAAACTACTTTTCATAAGGAGAAGCCACTTGGCAGTTGAGTGAGCAAACTACTTTTCATAAGGAGAAGCCACTTGGCAGTTGAGTGAGCAAACTACTTTTCATAAGGAGAAGCCACTTGGCATAAGAACAATGAAGGTTGCTTGCTTGTGGGAATCTCAACAGGAGCAATGGCGGGATGGCGGGAAGGGACGCCATGCGGTGAATGCAGTGCAGCAACATGGCCTAGCAGCAAAATGGCCTAGCAGCAACATGGCCTAGCAGCAACATGGCCTAGCAGCAACATGGCCTAGCAGCAACATGGCCTAGCAGCAACATGGCCTAGCAGCAACATGGCCTAGCAGCAACATGGCCTAGCAGCAGCAACATGGCCTAGCAGCAACATGGCCTAGCAGCAACAGTGTGCCACCGGTAAGAAGGCAGTGATAAGCCCCTAATTACTTAACGAGCCCGAGTGAGAATGGGAAGTGCAGCAACTCACCATGCTGCACTGCATACTATGTTGGTGTTACTTTTGTGTTTTGCGACGTCTCAAAACAGTTTTGCGACGTCTCGAAACACTTCACGAGCCCGAGTGAGAATGGCAAGTGCAGGAATCCGCCACGCTGCAGTCCATAGTGCTCGAGGCAGGCAGGGAGGCACCACACACCTAGTGAGCAGCAAGGCCAGTATGCGCCACGAACCACGCTACTACTCAGCTTTTTAGAGTAGCACACACACCATGCCGGCAGGCGCTACACACCTCTCGAATGTGCGGGCAGGAATCCAGAAGCCCCTCTGAGAGACACGTGTGAAGAAATGATTGGTGCTCCAGCACAATCTGTATGCGGGCATGAAAGACAGTAAAATACAGAAGCGTCTTTGGATATTTCCTCCTGGAGAGACGGAGAATGGTGAATATTTCGAATAGCAAAGAAAAGAAAAGGGACAACAAAAAGCACTTGCAGATTTGGAAGCATAGAAAAACGTATGTAATAGTGCGAGTGAGGATGGGCTATCACAACGATTTGGAGAGATAACCAGCTTCCAACCGATCTTGGCAGGTGAAGCTTTGTCAGCTCAATTAGGGAGGCAGAGACAGAAAGCGTGGAGAGAGATGGGCGCTTTTTCTTGGAAAGGCGCTTTGTTTGTAACTCCCCAAAAACGTTTTTCCGATGTGCTTTGGGAGGCAGAGACGGAAAACACCAGGGCAAACTGTGAAGATGAAGCAATGGAGGAGGGCGCGCATGTGCTCATGTGACGTGGGGTTGAAAGTCCGAGTCGATATGCAGCAGGACGTGGGTTTGTTACAACAAAGTTATCAATTAAGTGATTGGGGGGGGGGGGAGGTGGGGAGGCTGCTTTAAAGTCGTGTTGGATGCCATCAGGAGGAGGTGGAGATTTGCGATGATATGAGGGATGAATCTATCGAGCGGGGGAGGGTGGTGGTGGGCGGGAGAGAGTGAACCACCTGGTGGAAGGAGGTAGCCTTGGTCAATTTTGATGTCATGAAGTCGAAATTGGGGCTTATCACCTGATGGTATCAAGGGAAAGGTATCAAGAGAGGAGGGAAGAGGAACGGAGGGAAAAGAAAGGGAGGGGAAGGGAGAGGGAGGGAAAGGAAAGGGAGGCGAAGGGAAAGGGAGGGAAAGGAAAGGGAGGGAAAAGAAAGGGAAAGGGGAAGGTGTCGTGAGGGAAGGGGGGGGGAAGAGGGATTAAATGAAGGGCTAATCACTTGAAGGTGTTGAGAAGGAGAGCGGGGGAGGGGGGAGAGGGTGGAGTGTTTTGGGGGAAATACATGAGAGCATGGAAATGAATGGGAAAGGGTAAGGAGGTTGAAAGGGAAAGAGCACACAGAAGAGCAGTGAATGAAAGGAATAAAGAGCCTACATGGTGGAACACTTCGTGGGTACGGAAAGAATTCCGGTAATGAAAAAGTGGTTCGAGAGTGCATGTGGGAGAGCATTTGGGAGTTTATTTAAGAGTGCTTTTGAGAGTACAACAAAAATCAAACCAATTAGACAGAGGAACAGACGACAGAAGGCAGAGTAGGTAAATGCAATGTGTCAACCACAGAATGGAAATATGGCGAGATAGGCAGGCACACACGCATGCATGCACACACACTCACTCACGCACCGCATGTGCGACATGGTCGAGGATGGCAGTGACAGCACATGCCATGCGATGCCGCAGCCAGTGCACGCGCTGCAGCATTGTCCCCTCCACCTTCAGTCCCCGCGTCAGCTGGGAGTGTCAGAAGTAATGGGGGGTTGTGGGGGTGGGAGGGTTCTTTTTGTGACTCAAGAGTGCAAACGCTGCAGCAATGACCCCTGCGCCTTCAGTCGCCATGTCAGCTATGTGTGGTGTGGGGGGAAGCAGGAAGGGGGTTCTTCTGTGTCGACTCAAGAGGGTGCACGCACTGCAGCAGTGGCCCTTCCACCTTCAGTCCCCGCGTCAGCTGGGAGTGGGAGTGTGTGTGTGTGTGTGTGTGTGTGTGTGTGTGTGTGTGTGTGTGTGTGTGTGTGTGTGTGTGTGTGTGTGTGTGTGTGTGTGTGTGTGTTTGGGGGGTAGTGGGGTAGTGACTCATGAGTGCAAGCGCTGCAGCAGTGACCTTTCCACCTTCAATCTCCGTGTCAGCTGGGAAGGTGTGGATGTTGCATGTGTATGGGAGGGAGGAGAGGGAAGGAATATTTTGAGTTGACTCAATATTGTACACGTTGCAGCATTGTCTCCTTAATCAGCACTTCAGCTAGGAATGTGAATGCTGTATGTGTGTGAGAGGCGGTGGGGAGGGGGTTCATTTGTGTCGACTCATTAATGCACGCACTACAGCACTGCCCCCTACCTTCAGTCCCCACATCAGCTGCCAGTGCGAGTGGAGCAGAGCGCAGCGGCAGTGCAGCCTGCTAGCAGTGCTGCTGGTGCAACGTAACGATATACTCGTGTGTGGCAGCGGCGGCTGCAGCTAGGACTAACTTGTATGTATGTGCACCTCACCTCTATCCTAAGCTCTCCATTACTGGAAGAAGTCTCCACTGCAGCATGCTGGCTTTTGAGTCGACTCAAATATGCAGCGAGTGTCTTATGATTATCCGTGTCTTTTGAGTCGACTCAAAAGTCACCTAGAAGTCTCCACTGCAGCACGGTGGCTTTTGAGTTGACTCAAAAGAGCAGCAAGTGTCTTATGATTATCCGTGTGCATGCCTGTGTGTGGAGCACACCACTCCACACCACTCTACAGCAAAACAGCCTGTGCCAGCATCCAGCACCCCACATCACGCCCTTCGCCCTGCAGATACCATCACCACCACCACCACCACCACACCACGGCCCTACACATATCATCACCACCATCCCCCACAGCCCTACCTGCAGGGCAGACCATGCGAGGGCGAGGTGCATGTGGGTTCGCCTGGCGGCGAGCAGGAAGCGGAAGAGGTGGTTGTAACCCTGCAGGGCGGATGGGGGCACCACCGCGGATACTGGCCAGGGCGCCTGCAGTAAAGGGGAGTTACAGGTGGGTTGGGAACAGGGGGATGGGATGCGGATGAGGCGAGCAGGAAGCGGAAGAGGTGGTTGTAAGCCTGCAGGGCGGACGGGGGTACCACAGCGGGTTCTGGCCAGGGGGCCTGCAGTGAGTGCGGCAGGGAAGAATGGTGGAGGAGGGGTGGGTTATGGGTGGATGAGGGCATGGGAAGAGGAATGAGGCGCGCAGGAAGAGGAAGGTGCGATTCTCCAGCACCAATAAGAATCGATACTTAAACCTTGAACTAATATTTCACATTAAGAGGTAACGGGAAAAAACAAAAATCGAGTTATGGGCAGAAGAGGCAAACCACCTGGAAGTCGATTGTTTCTTTCCTTTTCTAAAGTTTAACAAGCTGTCTCACTTTGCCTGGGAGCCCACCTGGTAGTCGATATAGATGGCCTCCCATCCGCTCTGCCCTGCAACTCCCCTCCCCTCACCCCCTGCCCCTCCTGCTGCCTGCGCTCCAGCAGGAGTGCCCCGAGAGACAAGCGACCAGGATGACACAGCTGCAGGGCTGACTGGGCGAACAGGGGTGACCTGGGGTAGCAGCGACAAAGAGAACCAAACCCACCTGGTAGTCGATATAGATGGCCTCCCATCCGCTCTGCCCTGCAGCTCCCCTCCCTTCATCCCCTGCCCCCCCCGCTGCCTGCGCTCCAGCAGGAGTGCCCCGAGAGACAAGCGACCAGGATGACACAGCTGCAGGGCTGACTGGGCCAGCAGGGGTGGCCTGGGGTAGCAGCAACAGCGGGTTGCTGTAGAGCTGCCTGTCATCCCCATCAGCACCACCACTGCCACCACCAGCAGCAGCATGAGCAGCAAGAGAGTCATCATCTGCATCATCATGTGAATCATCTCCCAGCAGGTCCTCGTATTGATCGTATGACTGGAGGCTGCTCAGCAGATCTGCACCGTCCATGCTCTCCCTTGACTGCTGCAGATGTGACAGTTGCGAATGTGATTGTACTGGGTCTGGTGCGCGGTGTGAGGGTGGCGATTGTGTGGTTGCACAGGAAGAACACTGGGGGAAGGAGGGGGAGGGATGGGGAAGGAAAGGGCTTCTTTCTCTTCTGTGCATGTACGTGCCCACATGCGAGTATTTATCCATCCATGTGTTTTTTGAGAATTCTAAAAAAAATCCATGCGCTCATACAATACAAGTTTCAGGATGTAACTCTCACATACACTCGCCCTCACATTCTCACCTGCGCACCTGTGTGTGTATCCATCCATCAATACCGATCATTCATCCAACCGTGCTCACCAGGCGTGCAGAGAGGCGGTCACAGTTAGGGTCTGAGGCTGCTGTGGAGGAGCGCAGAGACGCGCCCAGTGACAGCTGGAGAGGGAAGAAGGGGTGGGAAGAGATGAGGAGAATCTGGTTAGGACAATGAAAGGTCACACATGTGCAAAAGGCCGGATCACAATTAGGGTCCGTGGCTGCTGTGGAGGAGCGGAGAGAGGCACCTTTTGAGAGCTGGGGGGAAAGAAGGGGTGGGCCGAGATGAGGAGAATATGGCTTGGATGATGTAAGAAGTCATTCAAGAGTTATACAGGAGTTATACAGGAGTTATACAGGAGTTATACAGGAGTTATACAGGAGTTATTGAAATCGCAGTTGGTGTCTCTTCAGGAGTTATGACATGAGGAGAACCTTGACATTGAATGACAGTGGGATGATGGAACTCCCCTTACATTCTTACATCTTGGGAATCCTCATCATGTATGGCGCAACACGCATCGTGCAACGTGCAGGGTGCATGGGGCAGGGTGCATGGAGCATGGTGCATGCTCACATCAATGCGAGCCTGAGACGCCCTGCTAGCCGGCTTGCAGAGCTCCTCGCCTGCCAGCGCCATGAAGTCCGACAGGAAGTCCGCCTGGACGATGGGGTGGGAGGAAAAAAGGGGGGAGGGGGGGGAGGGACAGAAGGGAGCGCGCAAATACTTGATGAAGCCGCGCCAAGGAAAGACGGGCATACGACAAACATGGCTCGCTTGCAGAGCTCCTCACCTGCCAGCGCCATGAAGTCCCGCAGGAAGTCCGCCTGACAGTGGGAGGGGGTGAGGGAGAGGAGCAGTCAGTGGGGAGATGACACAGATGGCACGGCACACGATGATACGCACGTGCCTTACTGGGTGAATCTCCTCTCCTTTCCTCGCTCCTCGCCTTCCAGTGCCATAAGGTGCATCAGGAAGTCCGCCTGGATGATGGGGGGGAGCGTGAGGGTGAGTGAAGGGGGTCAGGAAACACGTTATGATGCCTGTGCCTGTGCCTGTGCCTGTGCCTGTGCCTGTGCCCGTGCCCGTGCCCGTGCCCGTGCCAAGGAGCTGTCAAAAGAGGACAGGTGGGCTGCGGAGGCCTTACTGCCCGTGCCCGTGCCAAGGACGACATGATAAGCATGGCTGGCCTGCAAAGCTCTGCTCCTGAGGCGCCTCAAAAGTCATGATAAGCATGGCTGGTCTGCAAAGCTCTGCTCCTGAGGCGCCTCAAAAGTCATGATAAGCATGGCTGGGCTGCAAAGCTCTGCTCCTGAGGCGCCTCAAAAGTCATGATAAGCATGGCTGCGCTGCAAAGCTCTGCTCCTGAGGCGCCTCAAAAGTCATGATAAGCATGGCTGGGCTGCAAAGCTCTGCTCCTGAGGCGCCTCAAAAGTCATGATAAGCATGGCTGCGCTGCAAAGCTCTGCTCCTGAGGCGCCTCAAAAGTCATGATAAGCATGGCTGGGCTGCAAAGCTCTGCTCCTGAGGCGCCTCAAAAGTCATGATAAGCATGGCTGGGCTGCAAAGCTCTGCTCCTGAGGCGCCTCAAAAGTCATGATAAGCATGGCTGGGCTGCAAAGCTCTGCTCCTGCGGCGCCTCAAAAGTCATGATAAGCATGGCTGGGCTGCAAAGCTCTGCTCCTGAGGCGCCTCAAAAGTCATGATAAGCATGGCTGGGCTGCAAAGCTCTGCTCCTGAGGCGCCTCAAAAGTCATGATAAGCATGGCTGGGCTGCAAAGCTCTGCTCCTGAGGCGCCTCAAAAGTCATGATAAGCATGGCTGGGCTGCAAAGCTCTGCTCCTGCGGCGCCTCAAAAGTCATGATAAGCATGGCTGGGCTGCAAAGCTCTGCTCCTGAGGCGCCTCAAAAGTCATGATAAGCATGGCTGGGCTGCAAAGCTCTGCTCCTGAGGCGCCTCAAAAGTCATGATAAGCATGGCTGGGCTGCAAAGCTCTGCTCCTGAGGCGCCTCAAAAGTCATGATAAGCATGGCTGGGCTGCAAAGCTCTGCTCCTGAGGCGCCTCAAAAGTCATGATAAGCATGGCTGGGCTGCAAAGCTCTGCTCCTGCGGCGCCTCAAAAGTCATGATAAGCATGGCTGGGCTGCAAAGCTCTGCTCCTGAGGCGCCTCAAAAGTCATGATAAGCATGGCTGGGCTGCAAAGCTCTGCTCCTGAGGCGCCTCAAAAGTCATGATAAGCATGGCTGGGCTGCAAAGCTCTGCTCCTGAGGCGCCTCAAAAGTCATGATAAGCATGGCTGGGCTGCAAAGCTCTGCTCCTGCGGCGCCTCAAAAGTCATGATAAGCATGGCTGGGCTGCAAAGCTCTGCTCCTGAGGCGCCTCAAAAGTCATGATAAGCATGGCTGGGCTGCAAAGCTCTGCTCCTGAGGCGCCTCAAAAGTCATGATAAGCATGGCTGGGCTGCAAAGCTCTGCTCCTGAGGCGCCTCAAAAGTCATGATAAGCATGGCTGGGCTGCAAAGCTCTGCTCCTGAGGCGCCTCAAAAGTCATGATAAGCATGGCTGGGCTGCAAAGCTCTGCTCCTGCGGCGCCTCAAAAGTCATGATAAGCATGGCTGGGCTGCAAAGCTCTGCTCCTGAGGCGCCTCAAAAGTCATGATAAGCATGGCTGGGCTGCAAAGCTCTGCTCCTGAGGCGCCTCAAAAGTCATGATAAGCATGGCTGGGCTGCAAAGCTCTGCTCCTCGTCTGCCAGCGCCATGAAGCTCAACAGGAAGTCCGCCTGGTGGGGGTTGAGTGAGGGTGAGGGCATGACATGACAAGGACGGGCACATGATGCGAGCATGGCTGGCCTGCAGAGCTGAGGGGAGGCAGGGAGACGGACGGACGGACGGACGGACGGATGGACGGAGTTTCAATACGTCTCGAAGCTGGCTGCAATAGATGGGTCAATGGATGAGTGAATGAATCAATGGATTGCCAGTTGGAATGAGAATAAGGTGTACCTGGGAGAGCAGTAGCACTCGTCTGATGGTGAGCAGATGCCCGAGGAGGTGGCTCTGCTTTGCAGAGAGGAAAAACGCATGTGCGTGAGGTTGAGAGGGGGAGGGAGGGGAGACGAAGGATGGCGGATACTCTTATAAGAAGACAGAAGAAACGCAGCAGGGCCAGCCCTTCCCCACCCGCCAACACTCAGAGGCAGATGCATGCACACTTCGTGATGACATGGAAACAGCAGGCTATGCACGTGCAAGCAGGCATGCAAGCATGGAGGCATGGAGGCATGGTGGCATGGAGGCATGGAGGTATCAGTATTCACACCCCATTCCATGAAGCAGCATCTCTCATGTGGCAGGAACTACCCTTTTTACAGAACCCTGCTTGTTGCAGCACTGGTACCCATGGGCCATGGCCTTGCATGGCATGGCAATACGCTACCCTGTTCAACGTGAGCTCCAATAGAGCCCCAATAGAACTCCAATAGAGCCCCAATAGAACTCCAATAGAGCTCCAATAGAGCCCCAATAGAGCCCCAATAGAACTCCAATAGAGCCCCAATAGAACTCCAATAGAGCTCCAATAGAGCCCCAATAGAGCTCCAATAGAGCTCCAATAGAGCCCCAATAGAACTCCAAGAAGGTGCCATGCTGTTTTGGAGAATTCTCAAGAATGACTCCAACGTTGCTGTCAATACGTGGGTGGCAGCAGCTCGTGCCAACACCAGTAGGCTACCTTGTTCAACGTGAGGTCCAGCATTGTCTGCTGCACTGCCTGTGTGCGTGCACCCACGCTCTCCTACCCTGCAACCCACGCTCTCCTACCCTGCAACCCACGCTCTCCTACCCTGCAACCCACGCTCTCCTACCCTGCAAGCAACCTATTCCTTGCAGCAGCATCTCAGCACTACCTTACCTTGTTCAGCGTGAGGTCCAGCATTGTCTGCTGCACTGCCTGTGTGCGTGCACCCACGCTCTCCTACCCTGCAACCCACGCTCTCCTACCCTGCAACCCACGCTCTCCTACCCTGCAAGCAACCTATTCCTTGCAGCAGCATCTCAGCACTACCTTACCTTGTTCAGCGTGAGGTCCAGCATTGTCTGCTGCACTGCCTGTGTGCGTGCACCCACGCTCTCCTCTAGAATGCCGAGCTGCATCTGCGGTTGTTCCGCCTCTCCCTCTGAAGGAATCAGCTGTGGTGTGAGGGAGAAGGAAGTGGAGAATGGAGAGAAAGTCGTCACAAGAGGATATTTTACGAAAGGGGATTGAGAATGTAAGAACCGCGTGAACTGAGACGATTTTTTAGGCGCCTCAAAAATTGTGCTGTGAGGGAGAAGGAAGTGGAGGATGGAGAGAAAGTCGCCACAAGAGGAGATTTTACGAAAGGGGATTGAGAATGTGTAATGTGTTTATTCCAATGCACTGCATGCACCATGCATGCGCGCATGTAACCCACGCACCTGCTTCAAGCAACCATGCTGCCTGAGCGCATGCACCAACTGCCCCGTGGCCAACACGTCATGAGTCTCAGCACACACTCCCCATACACACACTGTTCCCTTCGTCTAGCACACCACCTCACCCCACCACCCACCCACCCACCCACCTGCTTCAAGTACCCATGCTCCCTCAGCGCATGCACCAGCTGCCCCGTGGCCAACACATCATTAGCCACTGACTGGAACAGCACCGGCACCGCATCACACCGCACCAGAAACCGCTGCCCTTCCACCCCTTCCCACCCCTCTGCACTCCGCCACTCCTCTTGCCCCGTGGCCTCTCCCCCTTCGCCCTCCCTTTCCCGCACGCCCCCATGCTGCCTCAACCGCAAGCCATCACTGCCACTGGTGGTGTCCAGAATGGTGCGACCATGAGCAGATGGGGCGGTTTGCACATCAGCAGATGAGTGTGCAGCTGTAGCAACTGTAGCAGCTGTAGTGGCTGTAGCAGCAGTGGTGCATGCAGAAATGAAGAACTCGCTGTGAATGTCGTTGTCCAGCCTGCCTTCCTGCATCCACCTGCGACCATACCAGCAGCAGCAACAGGTCAGGTCTGGTGAGGTCAGTTGAGGTGAGGTGAGGTGAGGTGAGGTGAGGTGAGGTGAGGTGAGGTGAGGTTAGGTGAGGTGAGGTGAGGTGAGGTCAGGAAAGGTCAGGCCAGGTCAGGTCAGGTCAGGACTGAAACGGAAACAGAGGTTCAGGTTCAGGGCAGGGAGAATAGTAGAAGTTTGGAAGAGGCGTTGAAAGTAGTAGCACGCGAATGTGCGAGGCGGTAAGGAGGACACAAGGGCACGGAGCGAGGACATGGGCATGGAGCTAGGCACGGGCAAGGGCATTGAGAGCAGAGAGGGCAGGGAGGGCAGGGAGGGCAGGGAGGGCAGGGAGGGCAGAGAGAGCAGGGAGGGCAGGGAGGGCAGGGAGGGCAGGGAGGGCAGGGAGGGCAGGGAGGGCAGGGAGGGCAGGGAGGGCAGGGAGGGCAGGGAGGGCAGGGAGGGCAGGGAGGGCAGGGAGGGCAGGGAGGGCAGGGAGGGCAGGGAGGGCAGGGAGGGCAGGGAGGGCAGGGAGGGCAGGGAGGGCAGGGACATCAGGGACATACGAGGAGAGGAGATGAAGGTAGGGGGCGCATGTAGCTTTCAGCACAAAACGAATAAGACCCTCCGCCTCCCTCACATCTGGTCGGGTGGACTGGGAAGAAAGGGAGGTGGGTGGAAGGGAAGCGAGTCGGACGGGGGTTAGAGGTGGGATGGGAGGGAACGGGTGGAATGGGAAGGAGAGAACGAGAAGGGAGAGAACGAGAAGGGAGAAAACGAGGGGAATTCTTTACTAAAAGTCTGTGTATCTGTAAAGCACTGTACCACTGCATACCGCTTCATACCACTCTCTTCATCATACCACTGCATGCGTCATGCCAAGTGCATAGCCCTGTAAACCATTGCATACTGCTCCATACCCATGGATACAGCTGTAAATCATCTTATACCGTTCTAAATCATTGCAAACCGCTGTACAGCATTGCATACCACTGCAAACCATTGCATACCGCTGCATGCAGCATGTCAAGAACCTCTGTTGATCCCCATCCTTCATCGTCCACCCCTCTCACGATGGGCTCGAGAACCCTCACTCCGTCCGCTATGGGCTGTGGGGCACGGCACGGCAACACACAGAGGGGAGCATTGGGGGAAATGGTTGCACCGACTGAGCTGCCAGGGATAGAGTGAGAGATCCAAGACCCAGCCGCTCACGATGGGCTCGAGAACCCTCCCTCCGTCCGCTATGGGCTGTGGGGCACGGCACGGCAACACACAGAGGGGAGCATTGGGGGAAATGGTTGCACCGACTGAGCTGCCAGGGATAGAGTGAGAGATCCAAGACCCAGCCGCTCACGATGGGCTCGAGAACCCTCCCTCCGTCCGCTATGGGCTGTGGGGCACGGCACGGCAACACACAGAGGGGAGCATTGGGGGAAATGGTTGCACCGACTGAGCTGCCAGGGATAGAGTGAGAGATCCAAGACCCAGCCGCTCACGATGGGCTCGAGAACCCTCCCTCCGTCCGCTATGGGCTGTGGGGCACGGCACGGCAACACACAGAGGGGAGCATTGGGGGAAATGGTTGCACCGACTGAGCTGCCAGGGATAGAGTGAGAGATCCAAGACCCAGCCGCTCACGATGGGCTCGAGAACCCTCCCTCCGTCCGCTATGGGCTGTGGGGCATGGCACGGCAACACACAGAGGGGAGCATTGGGGGAAATGGTTGCACCGACTGAGCTGCCAGGGATAGAGTGAGAGATCCAAGACCCAGCCGCTCACGATGGGCTCGAGAACCCTCCCTCCGTCCGCTATGGGCTGTGGGGCACGGCACGGCAACACACAGAGGGGAGCATTGGGGGAAATGGTTGCACCGACTGAGCTGCCAGGGATAGAGTGAAAGATCCAAGACCCAGCCGCTCACGATGGGCTCGAGAACCCTCCCTCCGTCCGCTATGGGCTGTGGGGCACGGCACGGCAACACACAGAGGGGAGCATTGGGGGAAATGGTTGCACCGACTGAGCTGCCAGGGATAGAGTGAGAGATCCAAGACCCAGCCGCTCACGATGGGCTCGAGAACCCTCCCTCCGTCCGCTACGGGCTGTGGGGCGCGGCGACACACAGAGGGGAGCATTGGGAGAAGAAATGATGCATGGACCGAGTAAGTGATCGGTCCGACCCAGTCACTCTCACCACGGGTGTGAGCACCCTCACTCTATGCGCTATAAGCTGCACGCAGGGCACGGCAACACACAGGGAGAATTGGGAGAAATGATGCATGGAGTGAGTGAGTAATTGGCACGACCCAGTCACTCTAATGATGGGCGTCAGCACACGCTACATGCAGTCACTCCATCTGCTATGGGTTGCATGACAGCACACAGGGAGTGAAGATTGGGGTGGGGGAGGAGATTGGTCTTTGAGTTGACCCAGAAACCGTCCACCCAAAGGGCGTGAGCACCCTCACTCCGTCTGATATGGGTTGCATGGCACGGCAGCAATGCAGCATACAGAGAGGGAAGCATTGTGGAAAATGGTTGCACAGACTGAGCTGCCATGCACAGAGTGATGTGAGTAATTCAAGACCCAATCACTCCCACGATGTGCATCAGCAGCACCCTCACTCCACCCACTATGGGCGGCACAGAAGCATACAGACGGGAGCACTGGGAGGAAGGATGCATGGGCTGGGCTGAATGAGCACTTGGTACGACCCACTCTCTCTGACAAACGCCGTCCGTCAGCACCCGCACTCCGCCCGCTATGTGTAGCGAGAGAGACAGACTGAGTGGTAAGAGACATGCACACGCACACTTGTTGCACCCCCCTCACTCTGTTGCACACTAAGGGCTGCTCTGCGAAGAAAGGAAGATTTTGAAATTGATACAAGCATGCCGTGGGGCCTTGGGGTGGATACATACATCAGTGAAAAGCGAACACAAATAACTTCTGAGAAAAAACTGCATTTTCTGACTGTGACACTATACTTACACCTAGATGCACCACTTCATACTTAAAAAACCATTTAGTACCTGACTGCACCACTACATAACCAGCAGCACCACCATATACCAACTGCATCATTGTATACCACATGCACCACTCCGTACCTGAATGCACCGCTTGAGCTCCAGCAACCTCATCCCGTGGCTCTCACACTGACTCTCCAGCTTGCATAACAGCATGGCTGTGTTCTGGTAGACACACGGGAGGGGTGGTGTGCAGTGGCATGGAGTGGCACGGGGTAATAGGCGGTGGTATGAGGTGGCATGCGGTGGCATGGGGAGGCATGATGATGGCATAAGGTGTCACAACTGAAAAGCGTAAATGCATGCACTGAAATTGAATGGTTGAATGGCGATTGGTGAAAGTAGGCCGACCTGCTTGCACGCAAGCATGGTCGCATGCCTGCATGGATGCATGGCTACATGGTTGCATGCATAGCCATGGCCTATGGCTGCATGCCTGCATGACCATAGCCATGGATGCTTGGCGGATGTGACAAAGATGCATGGCATGGGATGAAGCCGCATGGCATGTGATGCCCCCGCTAAGCACGGGGGGTAAAGGAACAGTGATCGCAAGAAACAAGCTAGTGAATTCTCGAATAAAAGACAAAGCACAGTGCGCGGCATCTCACACTAGTGCCACGGGCACTAATGCATGCATCTCGAAGCACAAAACATAGGTTGACACATAAGAAGAAAACACGCAAAGAGCTTACACACGGTCACAGGCAATAGGCTCGCACAGACGGTGGGCTCACATCAAGGAACACGCGGACAGCCTGGGCGAGGGCCTGCAGGCACTGGCTCGTGTGCTGCTGCTCTAGTGAGAGACAAGGCAGGCGCCTGTGGCACTATGTGTGCATCCACCCCAAAGATCACGACTCGTATTGCAAACGGTCTTACAGAACTCACATCGAGAAACACGCGGATGGCCTGGGCGAGGGCTTGCAGGCACTGGCTCGTGTGCTGCTGCTCCAAAGGCAGGCCGGACGGCTCTGACAGCGACGTGCAGAGCATGCCGGCAAGGGTGCGGGATGACTCGTGTCGCTCTGTGAAGTGGCGCAGGAGGGCGGTGCTGGCGATGAGCGGCAGCAGTGTAGCTGCTTCCGCCTGAAGGGGAGGGAGAGGGGAAGGAGGCAGAAAGTGGCACTAAGGACTCGTGGCGGTCTGTGAAGTGGTGGAGGAGGGTCGTGCGGGCGATCAAAGGCAGCAGTGTGCTGCCTCCGCTCCTCCTGATGGTGTGTGTGGTGGGGGGAAAGGAGGCAGAGAGTGACAGTCAGTTAGGACTTGTGGCACTCTGTGAAGTGACGGAGGAGGGCGGTGCTGGTGATGAGAGGCAGCAGTGTGGCTGCTTCCGCCTGGTGGTGTGTGGGGTGGGGAGAAGGAGCAGAGAGAAGGGGGGGTGTGAGGGAGTGTTTGTGAAGCACTGCCAACAAGGTGCGGATGTGCGATGACTCGTGACGCTCCGTGAAGTGGCGGAGGAGGGTTGTGTGCTGGTGATGAGAGGCAGCAGTGTGGCGGCTTCTGCCTGGTGGTTTGTGGGGTGGGGGGAGGGGAAGGAGCAGAGAGTGGCACTGAGGACTTGTGGCGGAGGAGGGCTGTGCTGGCAATGAGCGGCAGCAGTGTAGCTGCTTCCGCATGGAGGGCGGCAGGAAGAGGGGGACGGACGGACGGACGGACGGAGGGATGGAGGGAACGAGGGGGAGGGAGGGAGGAGGTGTCGCTGATGATGGGCAGCACCGCGTGCGCTTCCTCCTTCCATGTGGCGGGTGGGTGAAAACGATACACTCGGACAAAACGCATACACGCACTCAAGCACAGCACAAGCGCAAAGCAAGTGCACACACATGAAGGTTGTAGGCCAGCTGGTGAGGCAACTTTGCCACGAGGCTGGCTTTGAGGCGTCTCAAAACACTCTGAAGCGGAGCACAAATGCAAAGCAAATGCATGCAGGCACGCACCTGGATGTTGTAGGGCAGCTGGTGAGGCGGGTCTGCCACAAGGCTGGCACGCGCCCGCCGCACGCCCCTCTCGCTCTCCAGGCGGATTCTCACCAGCGACGACGGAAAACCCCTCAGCGCCACCAGCACCGCCACACATGCTGCTGTCTCCTGAGGGGGTTGGGGGGGAAGGGAGGGGGACGGAAATGGGAGAACAGGGGAAGGGATGCGCGCGGGTGAATGCCCGTCGCACGCCCCTCTCGTTCTCCAGGCGAATCCTCACCAGCGACGAAGGGAATCCCCTCAGCGCCGCCAGCACCGCCACACATGCTGCTGTCTCCTGATGGGGGGTATGGGGGAAGAATATCCGGAGGGTAGAATGGGGGGGAGGAGAATGGGGGGAGGGTAGAATGGGGGGGAAGGGGGGAGAATGGGGGGGAAGGGGGGAGAATGGGGGGAGGGTAGAACGGCGGGGTCTGAGAGTATAGACGAGATGGCCCTAAGCGCATCTAGCAATGCCACGCATGCTGTTGTTTCGTGGGGAAAATGGGGAATTCAGGGGGAAGGGAGGAGCGCGCGAGTGGGATAAGCGGGTTCTGAGCGGAGAGAAAAGAGAAAAGAAGACGGCGGCGATGAGCAGAAGCCTTTTGAGGCGCCTCAAAAGAGGGCGACGACGCGCGGAAGCCCCTCAGCTCTGGTACCGTCAGCAATGCTGCCTCCACCACCGTACTGCTGGCTTGTAGTGAGCGGGGACTTTAACTTGGACGTGTGAGTGGTTGGTTCGCTATTGATCTATAACTAGCTTTCTGTCAATGATTAGGTGGTTCTTCGAGCGAGTACAAGCGACAGGCGTGGGGTCCTCGTTGCAGTCTGTTCTAGTCGTTTTAAGGTTTCACAGGAGAAGACGCGTCACGAACGATATGACGGGAATTACACGTGCGAAATCCGCAGCATTGACCCTGGTGAACGAAACCAGTGAGCGTCAGCGAGCCCGGATTCACCTGCTCCTCGAGCGTCAGCGAGCCGAGTAGAGGAAAGTCGTCGAAAACCTGAGCAGACACAACGACCGCCATGGCCACCGCTATCACAGCGGCAGAGGGTGGATTGTCCCCGCGACACACGGCAAGGAAAGCAATCGACACAACGAGAGAAATATGATCCAACACATGGCTCCAAATTCGCTTTTTGAAGAAGCAAGAGAACCTCCTTTTCCTTTGCTGCGTTTTCCGACATGAGGCTTCACATCAGCTTATCCAGCTTTGTTTGTGATATTCAAATGTTTGTTTCCATTAACTTTTCTTTTGCACACTTCATGGCATCTTTATGCCACATGCATCTAATTTCGAGGAAAATGATATTGCAAATACTAGACGCACACATGTAGATTGTTGTATTAGAAAAAAACTCATGTTTGTTGTTTACCCCATGCCCCTGATTAACTTTCCTCTATTAAAGCGCACCCCCTAAACATACTCAATTTATCATAAGAGCAGGTGCACCTCTATAGGGGGTGTTACGGTTTTTACAACGACATAGGGTGCGCCTTTTCACGAATCACGACCCACAACGATCACCCTCAAGCTTTTCACAATCTACTGAAACAAGGCACACCGACGAAAGAAAAGCTCTCTTTGAAGAAGGCCGCACAGCATGCTGCTTTGCTGCTAGACTCCCACAATGGCCTCCATGGATGATTGCACCCTTGAAGCCGTTCGAGTGCATGATGCCGTTGAAATTACAGTCAAGTAGCTCAAGCTCGAATGCCCATGCCCGCCAAGAAAATCACTCAAAGGATGATGTTGCTTTTGTCTTGTGTTCGTCGAATCTTTACACAAGAGGAACATTCATTTTCGAGGTCAACAGTGCAGTCCAGAATTTGTCACGCAGCCCACACCATCACCGCAGGCCTCACCCTGGCCATCCCGCCAGCATGATTCCTGCTTCCCGTTATAACCCAAAACTCCTCTTCGTTTTTCGCCCTTGCTTCGTAGAGGCGATCCGCGACCCACTCCAATGCTTCATGGACGAGTAATCCGCGCACGTCTATTGTGGCACGCAGTCTGCCGTCATTTTGTTTAGCAAAAATAAGCCTGCTCGCCTCCCGATGACATCGTTTTGAAAGCTCCTTGTAATACTTCCTTTCGTCAAGCAGCTCCTTCGCAAGTGCGTGTTGCCCTTGCCCATAAGTGGCTCGCGATTCCTCTACTAACCCTCGAGCGCGTTCAGCATTGGCCCTTGCTTCTTCCCTCATGCATAACGGAGGTTCTCTGGACGCTGAGTTTCCCATTTGCACAAAGATGAACAATCAAATCAACTTTGTACAAGAAATTTGCCCACAACTTTGGTAGCTTGGGAGCTTACTACTCGCTAATGAGACTCGCTATTTGTTGAGTAAGCTTAAACCGATGGGTAACCCTATCGAAAGCCGTCTGCTGAGAACTCTCTGTGAGCACTGAACATCTCTCGGCAAAAAGTAGGCATTTTATAGCTACTATCTGTGAGAATAACAAACGAGAATGAATGAACTACCAAACAGTTGGGTACAAGTACTAACCCTAGTTGGGTTGTACCCCTTATGGGCTACCCCACTACAGCCTACACAAATGTATAAGCTATAATGTTCTGACACACCCCCATAGGCAAAGTGGGGGAGAACAAGTGGTCACAAGACCAGTCAAGAAAAACAAAGCAAGCTCAGGGTGGATCACAAAGTCACCACACAATCCGAGCACAAGCAAAGGGCCACAAGGCCAGTTCACATGCAGAGTTATATAAAGAGAGCAAACAATACAGTGATCATACCCTAGCAAGTGCAAGCATGCAGGTATATATAGATATCACAGTACAAGCAGGGTCAAGCAGTAAGCAAGTGAGGCAAAGTGGGCACAAGGCCTAACACAGTAGCAAAACGCTGAAGATCACCAGGCGGAAGTGCCTTGGTGAAGACATCAGCAGTGTTGGCCCGAGTGGCCACGTACGTAAGACGAAGCTAGCCACGCTGCTGCAACTCTCGAGCAAGGAAGTATCGCAGAGCGATGTGCTTCGTTCTGTGCTCCAGTCTGTGCTCCTAACACAAGGCAATCATGGCCTTGTTGTCTACGTACAGAACTGGAGGCGAACGAGGCTGCTCTCCCAAGTCGGTCAGCAAGTAGGTGAGCCAGCGTAGCTCCTGAGCAGCCATGGCTCCGGCGTAGATCTCAGCCTCACAACTGGAGCTGAGAACCGAAGACGAGCGGGTAGACCGCCAAGAACCCGAGCTGGACCCAAGGCTAAGGTGTAACCCTGTGACGACCGCTGCGTAACTGAGTCGTCAACCCAGGAGGCGTCTGCGTGACCAATGAGGACAACTGGACCCCGTCCTCCAAGCACAAGCCCCATGCCCGACGTACTGCACAGGTAACGCAGTACCCTCTTTGCAGCATCCCAGTGCACCTTTCGGTGCCTACCGGGAGCCACGTAGCGAGCTAGAAGGCTGAGAGGGTACGCGAGGTCAGGTCGTGTGCAAGTCATCAGGTACATGAGGCAACCCACAAGCTCTGGGTACGGACCACTCGGCTCTACGGACTCGTCCGAAGGTGGAGCTGAGAGCGAGTGGCTGGTAGACAGAGGAGTGAGCTGTGGCGAGGAGTACTGGAAGCCGAAGCGCTGAAGGACCTGGTGCACCATGTGTGACTAAGTCAGTGTGATGGTGCGCCGTGCTCTGTCCCGGGTGATCTGCAGGCCAAGATAGCTGCGCAGTTCACCCAGGTCAGTGCAGGTATGTCTCTTCTGCAGCTCGGACTTCACAAGGGTCAGTGCCTCAGTGTCAGCCGTGGCAAAGACGAGGTCATCGACGTACACTAGGATGTAGAACGGCGGCAGCGAGGTGTCGGTGCGTAGAAACAGCTACGGGTCTGCTGTAGAAGGAGCAAACCCAAGAGCCGCAAGTGTAGTCCTCAGTGTGTCGTGCCACTCGCGAGGCGCCTGGCGGAGACCGTAGACTGGCCGGCGGAGGCTCCACTGAGTACCTGCAGGAAACATCCCAATGAAACCAGGTGGTCGGCGCAGTTAGATCTCCTCGTGCAGGCTGCCCTGCAGGAAGGCTGTACTGAAGTCCAGGGAGTGTAACTCGTAGTCACGCTGAGCAGCGACGTGCAGCAACACCCGAAGAGTAGTCATCTTCGGGGTGGGGGAGAAGGTATGGAAGTAGTCAACTCCCTGTCGCTGACTGAAGCCTCGAGCAACATAACGCGCCTTGAAGGCAGGCGGAGAACCAGGCGGCCGCTTCACCCTGAAAATCCACATGGCATCGACTATGTTCGCCCAAGACGGGGAACTTCATCGACGTAGGTGCCTGTGGACTTCCAGGATGCCATCTCGGCATCCATAGCTGCGTGCCACTGAGAGGAGTAAGGACCCGTAATCGCCTCTGCGTAAGAGCGCGGGGTCGGGATGTCTGGAACATCCGGGTCTCCCCCAGGGGCAAGCAGCATGGAAGCGAAACGAGGTACAGCAGCTGCAAGACACTCAAAGTCCTCCTGCCTGTCCTCAAGGACGTCCGTGCCAAGAGCACACTCACCCCCGACGGACGGAGGACTGGCAGGCACAGACTAAGCAACTAGAGTAGTGGTGTAGTCGAGACGGCATGCAGCAGCAAAGTCAAGCAGCTCAGCAACGAGAGCAGACGCAGCAGCAGACTCAAAGGAAGGGTCAGTGACAACAGTGGCGAGGAGACGAGAGATAGTGGGACTGGCAGCACGAGCGCGGTCAGACGCAGGGTCAGGGACCTCAGGAAGAGAGGACTCAGGAGAAGCAGGCAGAGGAACACGCAGTGGAACAGAGGAAGGACGGAGTGCCATAGTGTGCGTGCTGGGGACCGGATGAGGACGCGAACGAGGAGCGCGACGAGAAGTGCGAACAGGCAAGACAGGACGAGATGCAGGCTCACGACGCTCTGTAAGACCGCCGAATTGCTCAGTGTAAGGAGAGGGAGCACGCAGTGGGGAGGCTGGTTGTAACGGCGGCTGCGACTGGTCAGGCGGTGGACATAGGAAGGGAGGAGGAAGACCAGTAGAAGACGGGAGACCAAGAACCTACTGAAGCAGGGGAACGAAGTAGGGACGCGGCCGCACAGTGCCTCCAGCACCTCCAGCTCTAGGGTCAACAGCTCTAGCTCCTGTAGTCCCAGCGCCTCCGGCGCTAGTGCCTCCAACTCCAGCTTATCCAGCTCCAGCGCCTCCAGCGCCAGCTGCTCCAGGCTCCGTAGGGTCTCCAGCTCCAGCGCCTCCAGCACCAGCTGCTCCAGGCTCCGTAGGGTCTCCAGCTCTAGCGCACCCAACACCACCAATCCCGGCAGCTCCGGCACCACTGGTACGAGCACCTCCAGGACCAGTAGTCGCAGTACCTCCAGTACCGCCAGGTCCAGTAGTAACAGCAGCACCTCCAGCTCTAGTGTCTCCAGTCCCGCCAGCTCCGGGAGCTCCACTCCGGCGGTGTGCGCGCTGAACAAGCCACTCACGCAGCTGCTGCGAGGATAGTCGCGGCGAAGCACCAGTAGGACCTCCAGACAAAACAGCACCCCGAGGCTCAGCACCCTCAGACTCCGCACCCTCCGACTCAGCACCCCCAGGCTCAACACCCTCAGGCTCAGCACCCCTAGGCTCAGCACCCCCAGACCAAGCACCCTCAAACCCTGCACCCCCCGGCTTCGCACCCCCAGACGCAGCACCCCCAGATGCAGCACCTGGAGCAGCACCTGAGACGACAGCTACCTGAACAGGCCCAGTACCAGGGAGAGGGTCTACCTGAGACACACCCGAGGGAGCAGGACCCTGGGGCGGGAGGGGGTCTACCGGAGGTGGACCGGGAGCAAGGAAGAGCGGCGGGGGCGGGGGAGGGGCAGAGCGGTAGGGGAAGAGATGGTAGAAGGGAACCAACTCGTCGAACATGACATTCTGACATTCGAGGTGGGGTGGTAAAACTGCCAGCCAGGCGCGTCAGGGACAAAGCCAAGGAAGACGCAGGGAATGGCGCGGGCGGAGAGCATGTCCTCGGACGTATCGCGAACAAAGGCACGAGAACCCCAGTCCCGGAACACCGACGCATCGCCAACCTTCCCCGTCCAACGCAGTGTGGGCGAGGTCTCCGGCAAGGAGACACGGGGCCAAAGGTTGAGTTGATGCAAAGCGTACCGGACCGCAAACGGCCACAGAAAATGGGGAGCGGCCGCATGGATCATGGAGGTACGAGCGACCTCCATGACTAAGCCAATGCGGCGCTCAGCAATCCCATTTTGCTGAGGGGAGTCCGGAAGCGTGAACGACTGGGTGATGCCCTCCCCACGACAAAAGTCCCGCAAGAGGTCGGAGGAGAACTCACCACCTCTGTCAGAGTGCAGACGCAGGACAGGAAGGGCTTGGCCGAACCGCTCGCGTAGCTGGAGACGGACTGTGCGGATCCAAGGGATCAAGACAGCAGAGACCTCATCCTTGCTGCGCAAGGGGAAGACTGTGGTGTACCGCGTGTAGTCGTCAACAACCAGCAGAAAGTAGCGCTCGCGGCCCTGTCCACTGACGCGGGCTGGGCCCCACACGTCCATGTGGAGGGTCTGGAGGGGAGCAGTCGTCGGGGGAAACGAGGAGGAGTGAGGAGCGGCGCGCTGCCGCCCCTCGACGCGAGGAAGACAGGGCGGGGCAGGCGAGGGCGGTAAGGGAGGCAGAGACCTGGGGAGACCAGAGACAAGGAGACGGGAGTGCATGCCACGAAGGCGTGGCAGGGAGGGGTGACCCAGGCGGTGGTGCCAAAGAAGAGTCTGGTGCGACAGGAGGCGACACGAGCAAGAGGCGGCTACCTGACCTGACGCGGACACCTGAGTAGACGCAGCGACCTGAGGAGGCTCGGTAGCCAGCGTGTACAGACTCGACCCTGGGCGACGAGTGAACGTAGCCAGGTGACGCCCCGTCCGTGTGCACGTGCAGATCGACACACGCTGACCCCCAGGAGTGGTGGTAGTGACCATCGCATCCTGAAGGGCAGCGGTACTCACCAAGTTTGTAGAGAACGAGGGGAGGTGAAGACCTGACAGTGAGCCGGACGGATCCGCCGGACACGGGAGGATAGTGGAGGAACGGGCAACGACCGGGCCCCCAGAGGGGTCAGCCAGTCTGACCGGAACAGGTGCAGGGAGAGGAGTGAGAGTGGTGCTGTCACGAAAGAAATAGCGCGAGGCGCCGGAGTCCAACGTGAAGGTGTGCAAGGCCTCAGCAGGCGCAGTACCAGGGGGAGTACCAGACGCACTAGCACCTAGAGCAGTAGCCGCTATACCTGGGTCAGGTGGCACACACCAGTAACAGTCACCCTTAGCACTAAAAGACAAAGCATACATGGCAGAGATAATAACATCATAGTCTAGGTCAAAGATAGGAACTCCTGACTGAAGCAACTGCGCCCAGCGAGGGCGCTCGACGTCGCCACCAAACTCAGTACGCCAGGCGTCGTCAAGGCGGGCAAAGCAGCGGCGCTCAGTGTGATACTTCCCGCATGTCTGGCCCGCACGGACACCCGTGCGAATGACGTACGGGCAGCTCTCACTACCCCCACCCGTCCCACGCTGAACCAACCACTCACGGAGCTGCTGGGGCAACTGGGTCTCGCTCCGACGCTGCAGGTGCTCGCCCCGACCACCACCACGGCCTGTGCGCCGAGGTCCAGACCTACCACCACCGGTCCCACCGCCTCCACTGCCGCCACTCCCTCCACTGCCGCCACCGCCGCCACCAGAGCCTCCACCGCCGCCACCAGTCCCACCACCGCCACCACCTCCACCGCCTCCACCTCCTCTACCGCCGCCCCCACTACCGCTCCCACTGTCACCTCCACCACCACCGCTGCCTCCTCCACTACCCCGACCACCCTTGCCCTTGCTGTTGCGTCGCTTCGCACTAGTCGAAGCAGCACCGACGTCCTCAGGATCTGAGACGTCTGCAGCAGCAGTAGAGGCGAAGGAGGGGGAAAGGGGGGAGGGGGAGCACCCCTCAAAGAAGGGCGAGCGCGGAGTGCCACGACCAGCACCTACAGCAACTGCACTAGTCTCAGCTGCGAGGAGATGCTGCTCGAGGGGGTCAACAGTGAGGGAGGTGGGGTCGAGGGTGAGGAAGTGGTCCCTGACAGAGCGAAGGGAGTCAGGGAGGCGAGTGACGATGAAGTTGAGGGTGATGAACATGGGGGGCTGGTTCGTGGGAAGGAACTCAGCAGGGACGGTAGCGCGGTAGCGAGCGTCGCTAGTGCGCAAGTGGGTAACCAGGTCCGCTACTGTGGCAAAAGCCGACAGCTTAGGGAACAGGTAGGGCAGTAGCAGCTTGCCAATAGCAGCAGTGGCAGGGGAGGAGTAGCGAGCAACGACAGCGTCGTACAGGGCCTGTGCTCTCCTGTGCTCGCCAAGGTGAGCACATTCGGTCGCGGGCAGGTGGTTGCGAATGGCCAAGCGGGCAGTAGCGTCACGAGACAGCCACTGGGAACGAGTCGAAACGTCAGCTGTGGCGGGAGGGGCTGGAGCGGCACCGGACACGTGGTCAAACAGTGAGACACTGTCCTTACTATCGCTCAGTAGGTACAGTTGCAGATCGTCGTGCCACGTGTCAAATGCTACAGGTCTGCCCTCCGGGTCAAACGGGAGAACTCTAAGCGATGCCATAGTGGCGCAGGACTCAGGAGCAGCAGTAGCAGGAGCTAAGGGGCCAAGGGGCCAAACAAGAGGGCCGAGGGGCCGATGGGCCGAGGGGCCTAGGGGCCCAAGAGGCCTAGGGGGCCGAGGGGCCAAACAAGAGGGCCGAGGGGCCAAACATGAGGGCCGAGGAGGCCGAGCCTAGGGGCCGAGGGGCCGAGAGGCGGGGCCGAGGGGCCAAACAAGGGGCCGGGCGCTGGGCAGTTACGGGGCCTAGGGGGCCGAGGAGGCCGAGCCTAGGGGCCGAGGGGCCAAACAAGGGGCCGGGCGCGGGCTAGGTACGGGGCCGGGCGCTGGGCTCTGAACTGGGGCCGAGGGGCCTAGGGGGGCCGAGGGGCCAAACACGAGGGCCGAGGGGGGGGGCGAGCCTAGGGGCCGAGGGGCCAAACAAGGGGCCGGGCGCTGGGCAAGTACGGGGCCGAGGGGCCTAGGGGGCCGAGGGGCCAAACAAGGGGGGGGGGGGGGGCGAGGAGGCCGAGCCTAGGGGCCGAGGGGCCAAACAAGGGGCCAGCCGCGGGCTAGGTACGGGGCCGGGCGCGGGGCTCTGAACTGGGGCCGAGGGGCCTAGGGGGGGGCGAGGGGCCAAACAAGGGGCCGGGCGCTGGCTAGGTACGGGGCCGGGCGCAGGCTAGGTACGAGGCCGAGCACGGGTGTTGACGGGGCGCGGGCTAGGTACGGGGCCGGGCGCAGGTGTCGATGGGGCGCGGGCTAGGTACGGGGCCGGGCGCGGGTGTCGACGGGGCGCGGGCTAGGTACGGGCCGGGCGCGGGTGTCGACGGGGCGCGGGCTAGGTACGGGCCGGGCACGGGTGTCGACGGGGTGCGGGCTAGGTACGGGCCGGGCACGGGTGTCGACTGAGCTGCCAGGGATAGAGTGAGAGATCCAAGACCCAGCCGCTCACGATGGGCTCGAGAACCCTCCCTCCGTCCGCTATGGGCTGTGGGGCACGGCACGGCAACACACAGAGGGGAGCATTGGGGGAAATGGTTGCACCGACTGAGCTGCCAGGGATAGAGTGAGAGATCCAAGACCCAGCCGCTCACGATGGGCTCGAGAACCCTCCCTCCGTCCGCTATGGGCTGTGGGGCACGGCACGGCAACACACAGAGGGGAGCATTGGGGGAAATGGTTGCACCGACTGAGCTGCCAGGGATAGAGTGAGAGATCCAAGACCCAGCCGCTCACGATGGGCTCGAGAACCCTCCCTCCGTCCGCTATGGGCTGTGGGGCATGGCACGGCAACACACAGAGGGGAGCATTGGGGGAAATGGTTGCACCGACTGAGCTGCCAGGGATAGAGTGAGAGATCCAAGACCCAGCCGCTCACGATGGGCTCGAGAACCCTCCCTCCGTCCGCTATGGGCTGTGGGGCACGGCACGGCAACACACAGAGGGGAGCATTGGGGGAAATGGTTGCACCGACTGAGCTGCCAGGGATAGAGTGAAAGATCCAAGACCCAGCCGCTCACGATGGGCTCGAGAACCCTCCCTCCGTCCGCTATGGGCTGTGGGGCACGGCACGGCAACACACAGAGGGGAGCATTGGGGGAAATGGTTGCACCGACTGAGCTGCCAGGGATAGAGTGAGAGATCCAAGACCCAGCCGCTCACGATGGGCTCGAGAACCCTCCCTCCGTCCGCTACGGGCTGTGGGGCGCGGCGACACACAGAGGGGAGCATTGGGAGAAGAAATGATGCATGGACCGAGTAAGTGATCGGTCCGACCCAGTCACTCTCACCACGGGTGTGAGCACCCTCACTCTATGCGCTATAAGCTGCACGCAGGGCACGGCAACACACAGGGAGAATTGGGAGAAATGATGCATGGAGTGAGTGAGTAATTGGCACGACCCAGTCACTCTAATGATGGGCGTCAGCACACGCTACATGCAGTCACTCCATCTGCTATGGGTTGCATGACAGCACACAGGGAGTGAAGATTGGGGTGGGGGAGGAGATTGGTCTTTGAGTTGACCCAGAAACCGTCCACCCAAAGGGCGTGAGCACCCTCACTCCGTCTGATATGGGTTGCATGGCACGGCAGCAATGCAGCATACAGAGAGGGAAGCATTGTGGAAAATGGTTGCACAGACTGAGCTGCCATGCACAGAGTGATGTGAGTAATTCAAGACCCAATCACTCCCACGATGTGCATCAGCAGCACCCTCACTCCACCCACTATGGGCGGCACAGAAGCATACAGACGGGAGCACTGGGAGGAAGGATGCATGGGCTGGGCTGAATGAGCACTTGGTACGACCCACTCTCTCTGACAAACGCCGTCCGTCAGCACCCGCACTCCGCCCGCTATGTGTAGCGAGAGAGACAGACTGAGTGGTAAGAGACATGCACACGCACACTTGTTGCACCCCCCTCACTCTGTTGCACACTAAGGGCTGCTCTGCGAAGAAAGGAAGATTTTGAAATTGATACAAGCATGCCGTGGGGCCTTGGGGTGGATACATACATCAGTGAAAAGCGAACACAAATAACTTCTGAGAAAAAACTGCATTTTCTGACTGTGACACTATACTTACACCTAGATGCACCACTTCATACTTAAAAAACCATTTAGTACCTGACTGCACCACTACATAACCAGCAGCACCACCATATACCAACTGCATCATTGTATACCACATGCACCACTCCGTACCTGAATGCACCGCTTGAGCTCCAGCAACCTCATCCCGTGGCTCTCACACTGACTCTCCAGCTTGCATAACAGCATGGCTGTGTTCTGGTAGACACACGGGAGGGGTGGTGTGCAGTGGCATGGAGTGGCACGGGGTAATAGGCGGTGGTATGAGGTGGCATGCGGTGGCATGGGGAGGCATGATGATGGCATAAGGTGTCACAACTGAAAAGCGTAAATGCATGCACTGAAATTGAATGGTTGAATGGCGATTGGTGAAAGTAGGCCGACCTGCTTGCACGCAAGCATGGTCGCATGCCTGCATGGATGCATGGCTACATGGTTGCATGCATAGCCATGGCCTATGGCTGCATGCCTGCATGACCATAGCCATGGATGCTTGGCGGATGTGACAAAGATGCATGGCATGGGATGAAGCCGCATGGCATGTGATGCCCCCGCTAAGCACGGGGGGTAAAGGAACAGTGATCGCAAGAAACAAGCTAGTGAATTCTCGAATAAAAGACAAAGCACAGTGCGCGGCATCTCACACTAGTGCCACGGGCACTAATGCATGCATCTCGAAGCACAAAACATAGGTTGACACATAAGAAGAAAACACGCAAAGAGCTTACACACGGTCACAGGCAATAGGCTCGCACAGACGGTGGGCTCACATCAAGGAACACGCGGACAGCCTGGGCGAGGGCCTGCAGGCACTGGCTCGTGTGCTGCTGCTCTAGTGAGAGACAAGGCAGGCGCCTGTGGCACTATGTGTGCATCCACCCCAAAGATCACGACTCGTATTGCAAACGGTCTTACAGAACTCACATCGAGAAACACGCGGATGGCCTGGGCGAGGGCTTGCAGGCACTGGCTCGTGTGCTGCTGCTCCAAAGGCAGGCCGGACGGCTCTGACAGCGACGTGCAGAGCATGCCGGCAAGGGTGCGGGATGACTCGTGTCGCTCTGTGAAGTGGCGCAGGAGGGCGGTGCTGGCGATGAGCGGCAGCAGTGTAGCTGCTTCCGCCTGAAGGGGAGGGAGAGGGGAAGGAGGCAGAAAGTGGCACTAAGGACTCGTGGCGGTCTGTGAAGTGGTGGAGGAGGGTCGTGCGGGCGATCAAAGGCAGCAGTGTGCTGCCTCCGCTCCTCCTGATGGTGTGTGTGGTGGGGGGAAAGGAGGCAGAGAGTGACAGTCAGTTAGGACTTGTGGCACTCTGTGAAGTGACGGAGGAGGGCGGTGCTGGTGATGAGAGGCAGCAGTGTGGCTGCTTCCGCCTGGTGGTGTGTGGGGTGGGGAGAAGGAGCAGAGAGAAGGGGGGGTGTGAGGGAGTGTTTGTGAAGCACTGCCAACAAGGTGCGGATGTGCGATGACTCGTGACGCTCCGTGAAGTGGCGGAGGAGGGTTGTGTGCTGGTGATGAGAGGCAGCAGTGTGGCGGCTTCTGCCTGGTGGTTTGTGGGGTGGGGGGAGGGGAAGGAGCAGAGAGTGGCACTGAGGACTTGTGGCGGAGGAGGGCTGTGCTGGCAATGAGCGGCAGCAGTGTAGCTGCTTCCGCATGGAGGGCGGCAGGAAGAGGGGGACGGACGGACGGACGGACGGAGGGATGGAGGGAACGAGGGGGAGGGAGGGAGGAGGTGTCGCTGATGATGGGCAGCACCGCGTGCGCTTCCTCCTTCCATGTGGCGGGTGGGTGAAAACGATACACTCGGACAAAACGCATACACGCACTCAAGCACAGCACAAGCGCAAAGCAAGTGCACACACATGAAGGTTGTAGGCCAGCTGGTGAGGCAACTTTGCCACGAGGCTGGCTTTGAGGCGTCTCAAAACACTCTGAAGCGGAGCACAAATGCAAAGCAAATGCATGCAGGCACGCACCTGGATGTTGTAGGGCAGCTGGTGAGGCGGGTCTGCCACAAGGCTGGCACGCGCCCGCCGCACGCCCCTCTCGCTCTCCAGGCGGATTCTCACCAGCGACGACGGAAAACCCCTCAGCGCCACCAGCACCGCCACACATGCTGCTGTCTCCTGAGGGGGTTGGGGGGGAAGGGAGGGGGACGGAAATGGGAGAACAGGGGAAGGGATGCGCGCGGGTGAATGCCCGTCGCACGCCCCTCTCGTTCTCCAGGCGAATCCTCACCAGCGACGAAGGGAATCCCCTCAGCGCCGCCAGCACCGCCACACATGCTGCTGTCTCCTGATGGGGGGTATGGGGGAAGAATATCCGGAGGGTAGAATGGGGGGGAGGAGAATGGGGGGAGGGTAGAATGGGGGGGAAGGGGGGAGAATGGGGGGGAAGGGGGGAGAATGGGGGGAGGGTAGAACGGCGGGGTCTGAGAGTATAGACGAGATGGCCCTAAGCGCATCTAGCAATGCCACGCATGCTGTTGTTTCGTGGGGAAAATGGGGAATTCAGGGGGAAGGGAGGAGCGCGCGAGTGGGATAAGCGGGTTCTGAGCGGAGAGAAAAGAGAAAAGAAGACGGCGGCGATGAGCAGAAGCCTTTTGAGGCGCCTCAAAAGAGGGCGACGACGCGCGGAAGCCCCTCAGCTCTGGTACCGTCAGCAATGCTGCCTCCACCACCGTACTGCTGGCTTGTAGTGAGCGGGGACTTTAACTTGGACGTGTGAGTGGTTGGTTCGCTATTGATCTATAACTAGCTTTCTGTCAATGATTAGGTGGTTCTTCGAGCGAGTACAAGCGACAGGCGTGGGGTCCTCGTTGCAGTCTGTTCTAGTCGTTTTAAGGTTTCACAGGAGAAGACGCGTCACGAACGATATGACGGGAATTACACGTGCGAAATCCGCAGCATTGACCCTGGTGAACGAAACCAGTGAGCGTCAGCGAGCCCGGATTCACCTGCTCCTCGAGCGTCAGCGAGCCGAGTAGAGGAAAGTCGTCGAAAACCTGAGCAGACACAACGACCGCCATGGCCACCGCTATCACAGCGGCAGAGGGTGGATTGTCCCCGCGACACACGGCAAGGAAAGCAATCGACACAACGAGAGAAATATGATCCAACACATGGCTCCAAATTCGCTTTTTGAAGAAGCAAGAGAACCTCCTTTTCCTTTGCTGCGTTTTCCGACATGAGGCTTCACATCAGCTTATCCAGCTTTGTTTGTGATATTCAAATGTTTGTTTCCATTAACTTTTCTTTTGCACACTTCATGGCATCTTTATGCCACATGCATCTAATTTCGAGGAAAATGATATTGCAAATACTAGACGCACACATGTAGATTGTTGTATTAGAAAAAAACTCATGTTTGTTGTTTACCCCATGCCCCTGATTAACTTTCCTCTATTAAAGCGCACCCCCTAAACATACTCAATTTATCATAAGAGCAGGTGCACCTCTATAGGGGGTGTTACGGTTTTTACAACGACATAGGGTGCGCCTTTTCACGAATCACGACCCACAACGATCACCCTCAAGCTTTTCACAATCTACTGAAACAAGGCACACCGACGAAAGAAAAGCTCTCTTTGAAGAAGGCCGCACAGCATGCTGCTTTGCTGCTAGACTCCCACAATGGCCTCCATGGATGATTGCACCCTTGAAGCCGTTCGAGTGCATGATGCCGTTGAAATTACAGTCAAGTAGCTCAAGCTCGAATGCCCATGCCCGCCAAGAAAATCACTCAAAGGATGATGTTGCTTTTGTCTTGTGTTCGTCGAATCTTTACACAAGAGGAACATTCATTTTCGAGGTCAACAGTGCAGTCCAGAATTTGTCACGCAGCCCACACCATCACCGCAGGCCTCACCCTGGCCATCCCGCCAGCATGATTCCTGCTTCCCGTTATAACCCAAAACTCCTCTTCGTTTTTCGCCCTTGCTTCGTAGAGGCGATCCGCGACCCACTCCAATGCTTCATGGACGAGTAATCCGCGCACGTCTATTGTGGCACGCAGTCTGCCGTCATTTTGTTTAGCAAAAATAAGCCTGCTCGCCTCCCGATGACATCGTTTTGAAAGCTCCTTGTAATACTTCCTTTCGTCAAGCAGCTCCTTCGCAAGTGCGTGTTGCCCTTGCCCATAAGTGGCTCGCGATTCCTCTACTAACCCTCGAGCGCGTTCAGCATTGGCCCTTGCTTCTTCCCTCATGCATAACGGAGGTTCTCTGGACGCTGAGTTTCCCATTTGCACAAAGATGAACAATCAAATCAACTTTGTACAAGAAATTTGCCCACAACTTTGGTAGCTTGGGAGCTTACTACTCGCTAATGAGACTCGCTATTTGTTGAGTAAGCTTAAACCGATGGGTAACCCTATCGAAAGCCGTCTGCTGAGAACTCTCTGTGAGCACTGAACATCTCTCGGCAAAAAGTAGGCATTTTATAGCTACTATCTGTGAGAATAACAAACGAGAATGAATGAACTACCAAACAGTTGGGTACAAGTACTAACCCTAGTTGGGTTGTACCCCTTATGGGCTACCCCACTACAGCCTACACAAATGTATAAGCTATAATGTTCTGACACACCCCCATAGGCAAAGTGGGGGAGAACAAGTGGTCACAAGACCAGTCAAGAAAAACAAAGCAAGCTCAGGGTGGATCACAAAGTCACCACACAATCCGAGCACAAGCAAAGGGCCACAAGGCCAGTTCACATGCAGAGTTATATAAAGAGAGCAAACAATACAGTGATCATACCCTAGCAAGTGCAAGCATGCAGGTATATATAGATATCACAGTACAAGCAGGGTCAAGCAGTAAGCAAGTGAGGCAAAGTGGGCACAAGGCCTAACACAGTAGCAAAACGCTGAAGATCACCAGGCGGAAGTGCCTTGGTGAAGACATCAGCAGTGTTGGCCCGAGTGGCCACGTACGTAAGACGAAGCTAGCCACGCTGCTGCAACTCTCGAGCAAGGAAGTATCGCAGAGCGATGTGCTTCGTTCTGTGCTCCAGTCTGTGCTCCTAACACAAGGCAATCATGGCCTTGTTGTCTACGTACAGAACTGGAGGCGAACGAGGCTGCTCTCCCAAGTCGGTCAGCAAGTAGGTGAGCCAGCGTAGCTCCTGAGCAGCCATGGCTCCGGCGTAGATCTCAGCCTCACAACTGGAGCTGAGAACCGAAGACGAGCGGGTAGACCGCCAAGAACCCGAACTGGACCCAAGGCTAAGGTGTAACCCTGTGACGACCGCTGCGTAACTGAGTCGTCAACCCAGGAGGCGTCTGCGTGACCAATGAGGACAACTGGACCCCGTCCTCCAAGCACAAGCCCCATGCCCGACGTACTGCACAGGTAACGCAGTACCCTCTTTGCAGCATCCCAGTGCACCTTTCGGTGCCTACCGGGAGCCACGTAGCGAGCTAGAAGGCTGAGAGGGTACGCGAGGTCAGGTCGTGTGCAAGTCATCAGGTACATGAGGCAACCCACAAGCTCTGGGTACGGACCACTCGGCTCTACGGACTCGTCCGAAGGTGGAGCTGAGAGCGAGTGGCTGGTAGACAGAGGAGTGAGCTGTGGCGAGGAGTACTGGAAGCCGAAGCGCTGAAGGACCTGGTGCACCATGTGTGACTAAGTCAGTGTGATGGTGCGCCGTGCTCTGTCCCGGGTGATCTGCAGGCCAAGATAGCTGCGCAGTTCACCCAGGTCAGTGCAGGTATGTCTCTTCTGCAGCTCGGACTTCACAAGGGTCAGTGCCTCAGTGTCAGCCGTGGCAAAGACGAGGTCATCGACGTACACTAGGATGTAGAACGGCGGCAGCGAGGTGTCGGTGCGTAGAAACAGCGACGGGTCTGCTGTAGAAGGAGCAAACCCAAGAGCCGCAAGTGTAGTCCTCAGTGTGTCGTGCCACTCGCGAGGCGCCTGGCGGAGACCGTAGACTGGCCGGCGGAGGCTCCACTGAGTACCTGCAGGAAACATCCCAATGAAACCAGGTGGTCGGCGCAGTTAGATCTCCTCGTGCAGGCTGCCCTGCAGGAAGGCTGTACTGAAGTCCAGGGAGTGTAACTCGTAGTCACGCTGAGCAGCGACGTGCAGCAACACCCGAAGAGTAGTCATCTTCGGGGTGGGGGAGAAGGTATGGAAGTAGTCAACTCCCTGTCGCTGACTGAAGCCTCGAGCAACATAACGCGCCTTGAAGGCAGGCGGAGAACCAGGCGGCCGCTTCACCCTGAAAATCCACATGGCATCGACTATGTTCGCCCAAGACGGGGAACTTCATCGACGTAGGTGCCTGTGGACTTCCAGGATGCCATCTCGGCATCCATAGCTGCGTGCCACTGAGAGGAGTAAGGACCCGTAATCGCCTCTGCGTAAGAGCGCGGGGTCGGGATGTCTGGAACATCCGGGTCTCCCCCAGGGGCAAGCAGCATGGAAGCGAAACGAGGTACAGCAGCTGCAAGACACTCAAAGTCCTCCTGCCTGTCCTCAAGGACGTCCGTGCCAAGAGCACACTCACCCCCGACGGACGGAGGACTGGCAGGCACAGACTAAGCAACTAGAGTAGTGGTGTAGTCGAGACGGCATGCAGCAGCAAAGTCAAGCAGCTCAGCAACGAGAGCAGACGCAGCAGCAGACTCAAAGGAAGGGTCAGTGACAACAGTGGCGAGGAGACGAGAGACAGTGGGACTGGCAGCACGAGCGCGGTCAGACGCAGGGTCAGGGACCTCAGGAAGAGAGGACTCAGGAGAAGCAGGCAGAGGAACACGCAGTGGAACAGAGGAAGGACGGAGTGCCATAGTGTGCGTGCTGGGGACCGGATGAGGACGCGAACGAGGAGCGCGACGAGAAGTGCGAACAGGCAAGACAGGACGAGATGCAGGCTCACGACGCTCTGTAAGACCGCCGAATTGCTCAGTGTAAGGAGAGGGAGCACGCAGTGGGGAGGCTGGTTGTAACGGCGGCTGCGACTGGTCAGGCGGTGGACATAGGAAGGGAGGAGGAAGACCAGTAGAAGACGGGAGACCAAGAACCTACTGAAGCAGGGGAACGAAGTAGGGACGCGGCCGCACAGTGCCTCCAGCACCTCCAGCTCTAGGGTCAACAGCTCTAGCTCCTGTAGTCCCAGCGCCTCCGGTGCTAGTGCCTCCAACTCCAGCTTATCCAGCTCCAGCGCCTCCAGCGCTAGCTGCTCCAGGCTCCGTAGGGTCTCCAGCTCCAGCGCCTCCAGCACCAGCTGCTCCAGGCTCCGTAGGGTCTCCAGCTCTAGCGCACCCAACACCACCAATCCCGGCAGCTCCGGCACCACTGGTACGAGCACCTCCAGGACCAGTAGTCGCAGTACCTCCAGTACCGCCAGGTCCAGTAGTAACAGCAGCACCTCCAGCTCTAGTGTCTCCAGTCCCGCCAGCTCCGGGAGCTCCACTCCGGCGGTGTGCGCGCTGAACAAGCCACTCACGCAGCTGCTGCG